TGGTTAATGTATCTTCCTTGCGTAAAAGACAATAAATCATCGTTTAATGTATCTAATTCGCTTTTAAATTTACTAATGTTTTCCATTTTTACTTCTTGCCACTGTTGTTGAATTTCCTGTAGTTGCTGCTGGCTTTCCTGCAACTGTTGGAGACTTTCTTCCTGTTTCCTTTCTTGTTCTAGTTGCCACTGCTGTAATCTCTCTTCTTGTTTCTTTTCTTTTTCCTCCAACAACTGCTGTAATCTCTCTTCTTGTTTCTTTTCTTTTTCCTCCAACAACTGCTGAAATCTCTCTTCTTGTTTCTTTTCTTTTTCCTTCAACAACTGCTGTAATCTCTCTTCTTGTTTACTTTGCTGTTCCAACTGCCACTGTTGCAGGTTTTCTTGCAAATGCTGTAATCTCTCTTCTTGTTTCTTTTGCTGCTCTTGTATTGCTGCCATCAAATCTGCTACGCCGTAGTTTGACTTGCCGCTTCTCGTTTCCATTTTTTTTCGTCCCACTCTCTGACACCAATTTGTTATGTCTCTGGTCGTTAGTTAATTTCCCATATAATTTCTTTCCAAAAAACTTTAGCTAGACAAGTCCTTTCTTAAATAAAACTAGTTTAATCTTTCTCAATACAATTTTGCAATCCACAGAATTTCCACAGTCACACTATAAGTTAAACAAATGCTATAATTCACAACGAATGACTCACATGCTTGGTCCAACTGTCCGTCTCTATCTATGTCTGCAATTCAACTACATTGTTGCCGTCACTTCTTACCGGTCTTATATATACAAAAAGCGTACATCTCGTTTCTTCGTGAATCTTCTAGAATATCATGACGTGTTACCAGCGTGACGTGACACCCGCTGTCGTAACAATAACATTGTTTTCAACAGTAGGTTCCCAGATCTACAGGTGTAAAAAAACATCCTGAACAGTTTCTTAAAACATGTCTCCCTCATGGTCTGACTCTTAAATTTTTTAAATCTATATGCCTGAAATCAAAATCCCCCATAATCAAGAACTCTTTAATAGTTGAAACCTTAATCTTACTGCAGAGAGTTTCTCATTAATTTCACCAGATTAATCTGGTGGTCTGTAGCAAATTCTAACTAAAAGCCTTCTCCACCCATACCCGCTAATAGAAATTCAAACAGGTCCAATGTCCTTGCTATTATCTTTGATATATTCAAATGCAAAAGGATGTTTGTTTGAAATTAAGCACAAAGCTACATAATGGGCCATCTGTGCTCTGCCCACCAAAGGTATCTAAACCCAGTTTCTAGCACTGTAAGTCTGCAGACATTCTGCTGTGCCACTGGGGGGCTCAAAAGGATGTAACTCACAATTTACATATAAAGCCATTCCTTCCCATTTTTACTGCTTTATTTCTATTAAGTAACCTTTAAATACTGTATTTCAAATAAACTTCTCCCAATGAAAATAGTGATCAACCCTTTAATTTAAATGTTAAGCAAAAATGTATTTCCAATAATATTTAACTTATTTTACACTACAGCTACTACTTGACTGCCAAGGTTTCTTCCTTTGCCCATCTAAGCATTGGTCTGATTTTTTTTGCTTGCTCATGTCTTTAAATCTCACTTAATACTTCCATTACAGGCTGGGTGGAATTCACCCAGCTCGTAACCAGAAAAGTGTCTCTGAGAGAAATTGTTCTTTAATTTTTTAAAATGTATGCAAGTCTTTACAAAATTTTGCAGATTATTAGTAAACATTACAAGGATTTCATATACAAAATATCTGGTTTTTGAATTATGTTTTAAGATTTTTTTATTAAATATTTGCTTGTGAATTTTTTCTTTCAGAATGTTGACTATCCAACGTACAAAGTAATTTTGGTTTCAAAATTAAAAATACTTTTCTGTATCTGAAATTTGTCAAGTTTCATTTGCGTAATCTCTATAACCTTCTATGTGATCATCAAAAGTTTTTGAAATAAAACTTTATATTTAACCTGTTATTTTATCAATATTAACCCTATATGGTGTTGATCGATTTGATTGATCTTGTAACCATAATAAAAATTAGGAAATAAACCTAAGTTACTTTTTTTTGTTCTAGAATAACTGCAAATTGTAATAGTAAACCACAAATGTTTATTCCAAATAGCTTACATCACTTAACAGTATAAATCTATTTATATTTATCAATTTTTGTTTTATTGACCTTTGAACCATGTCTGACTAAAAATACTCCAGTAGAAGTTGAAATTACACAGTGTATGTGCATCGACATGACCCTATCAAATAGCATAATGCAGAAGATTCTGCTGCATATATACCATGAAGGTTTATTATTATTTTTCTTTCATTATCTTACCTAACATCTTTCTATTTTTATGATTTTAGTTACTTTCATAATAATAAACAGTTAAAAGAAATAAAAAATAAAAAACCTCATAATTAATTACCAAACATTTTTATTTTCAGTAAAGCTTTATATTTTATTTGTTATTTTTGTACTGTAACATTATATTTATTTCTCCATGTTGTAGGTAAGTAATCAAAGTATAACAAAAAAAAGGTTGCAAAATAAAATGTATAGCATTGTTAGTAGTGTTTACACAATTTCAAAGTACTAATGGTCAGAGTTTACACTCTCACCTTTTCCCACTTATTTTCTGTAGTTATTCCATTGCTAGTAGATGAGTTAGAAATGAGAAGAAACATAATGAATAGTACTCTATTCTTTTCAGTATGGATATTAATGTTCCAAGTAAATCTCCTCAGAGTTTCTTCTAAAGTTTTTACACTTATTTCCTATTGTTATTTTACTGTTAGTGGCTGAAGTAGAACCCTGCCGAATATAAAGTAATGAATCACCGTTCCTGTTTCGGTGTTAACATACTTTGACACTATCAAGAATTGTCTAAAGTACTTTATAAAAGTGAGAAAATATTTGTTATGGGTCTGTACAAAGCATAAAGTTGTATCCTATCCAATAAACTTGCTAAAATATAAAGTAATGAATCACCATTCCTGTTTAGGTGTTAACGTACTTTGAGGAAGGAAGGGGCTGGGAAGGAGCTGGACATGAAACAGTAAAAGGAATACGTCTAGGCTCAGAATGAGACAAATTATCCACCAATAAAGAAGGGGTAGTTTCTTTTTGTCACACTAACTCCTCATGGAATTCCAAAGTCTCATGAATGTTACTAAAAACATACTGTTGTAGAAAAGGGAGCCATAATTAAGTCCCAAAGATAAGTAGGTAGTAAACAAACTTGGAATAAGGCTGTGTCCCCCACAGGAGATCCCCAAAATAGAGAAACCACGTGTGTAAGGCTAGAGCTGGAGAAGACAAACGTGCCAATGGGAAAATAAGAGTGAGAGGCAATGCCCTGAAAACCCCAAGGCTTTCTGTGGATTTCCTTGAAATGGAAGTGGATGGTAGTGGTAGACAAGTACCATAGGATAGTCAATAGGATAAGATGAAGGTGGGAAAATTGGGCGTGGTATAAACAAACAGGATGATCAGAGTCCACCCCCAAATGTGCAAAATCTATTCTAACTGTTGATAATCAGGTAAGGGACATTCAGCCTGATGGTAGGCCAATGTACACTGATCCGCAGCCCATGTAGGGCAAGGTATGCTGGCACCCATCTGTGAAAAAAACAAAAAACACTCAGCATGAGCCCTAATATCCAGGGATGAGGGGGGGCATCAAATACTGAGAATAGGAGGTTATCATGTAAAAAAGATGAGTGGGGATCATACAATATTGGGGAAATAGATAAAACAGTACATACCTGAGAAATTATATCTAAAAGCCGTATTAGGCCTAGCTGATTCTGCAGTAGGGGCATAGAAAAATATGGCAAAATCAGGTGGAGGAAAAAGGCTGTCAAAATTCTTGTAGACCCGAGCAAGTTTGGCATGTTCAGGAGGAATAGGGGCAAGATCAGGTGAAACAGGTTGACTCCTATAATGAACAATCTCACGGAAGATGATAGCCGATAAGTCCAAAGATGAGTACCCCCTCCTGTAGCCTGTGTAAGTGTGATAATAGAAGGTATTATCTCTGAAATAGTAACATGAACTTTGGAATTCATTGTGTAAAAATGAAAATCAAAGACAATTGTTTGAAGAAAAAAAATAATTAAAAACTGTGAAAATAAGTTATCTGAAAGGTTGTTAACTGTAGAAAAATAAAGAAGAAAATAATAACCACTTCAGAATAACAAAGAAAATCACGAAGTTGAACAATTTGAAAAGCACTACAAAAATGTCTTGACACAAGTACTGCCAAACGAGAAGGGAGAGTTCGGTAAAATCGAAAAGGAGGAGTCATTTGCATCAGGAGAGTGTGTTGCACTCTTATTGTTGGAGAGTTATCACATGACATTTACATGCGACATGCATTTGAACCAGTTGATTGTAAGGTATATGGGAGCTCAAGAGTTGTAACATGCGAAAATTGTTTTTTTTCCATATAGAGGGAAACACTCAACAAGAATAGCTATTTATTTCTACCTTAATATATTATGCTACATTTTTCCAAACAATTTTTCAATAGGGAAGTTAAAAATTGTTCTTACACTGAAAATGTATTTCTTATAGCTACTTACCTTTCTCACACAAAGCTATCTTGATCATTTTTTGCCTTCAAAGAATTGCTAAAAAAATGTTTGCAATCAGCACACCAGTCTTTATACCCCGTCAATTTCACACAATTTCTGAACGTGTACATATCATGTGATTACTCTCCACCAACAGCATTGCACCACCTATACTGGTTTGAGGCTGAATGAGGTTGGAAAAAAGAAACCCAAAAGAACAGGGTATTGAGTGGGGTAAGGATGAGGGAAGTTCATTATCAGGAATCCCTAATGTGCTGCATCCTGTATGACAGAGGAGTGTTGTCTCTGGACTGTGAATAGGTTGAAGCATGCAGGAGCCAATCATCCATTGAAAGAAGAATGCAAAGACTCATACAATGAAAGTGTCAGGAGGGGGTTTGTACCCCTCTCCTCCTACAAAATGCTTAAAGAGCCAAGGTTAGTCCAAATGGTAGGGTCTTGAACTGGAAAACACGACTTAGAGCAATAAGTAAAAATCAATAAAATAGTCACTATGGGGAAGAACTCCAAATTGTAGATTACAAGGAGAAAATGATAAGGCACATAGTTAATCTGAATTTATCTAGTCCACAAAGTATGTACTAATAATGAACGTGCAAACAGAATAAAATTACCTAAAAATCAATATCTAACTTACCATATATCTAAATTAACCTAGATGACAAAGGACACATAGTTAAGTCCTACACTGGCAAAAACTACACAGGTACACAGCTACACCTATTATATTAAATACTACAAACAAATCTTGCCAAAAAATAAATCATTAAGCTCTTGTATACTTGAACAAACTTTACCTGTAGAGGAAAAGCTTGATATTCTCTACTAAGAACAATACTAGGAGGAAACATCTCTAAGCTTTCAGGACTAAATTCCATTGTGATGACTCTAAGAGAACATCCAATCTGTGGTGCAGCTAGGCCAACTGCCTTGTGATTTCTCATTACTTTCTTCATTTTGCTTATTACCTAGAATACATATTTAGTATATTAAATGCAGTGTTACATCAAATAAAACTTTTAAAAGTACAGAAACACGATTTAATTCACCATATATATTACAGATTACTTACCAACAAAACTACAACAGTGTTAATGATTAATGATCTTCTAAGTAAGAATGATTTCTGGTCAGATAAAAAAAAAACTAAGATAATCAACTCTTTTCAACTAATGTTTAAAGAATTAACAACAATATTTTGATTATTTGAATAGTTGGAATAATAAAAAAAAAGTAATAATCAGAACTGCTAACTTAGATAATTCAATTTAATCAGAATTTTGATGAATTAATTAGTTTACATGACAATAATCAATGTAATTGTTGCTCATAGATAACAAATTATAACAATTATGTGATTAAATTGTCCAAGTCTACTTCAAAGTACTTCCTACGTAAACAGATTTCACTTACTTTCTTTGTGATTGAGAGGTGAGTCACACAAACTTTAAATAAACAGAATGTGATAGGATATTTTATTTTTAATTAAGGTGTTTATGTGCAGAATGAAGGTGAAAAGTATTAAAAAATACGAGTACAGAATTCAGAAAAAATGTTTATTTAATGAATGTAATATTCATGTTATAAATGATACACACAACATGATGGTATGTTACTTAACAAAGTTGAAAGATGTAAGAAGCACAGAGATAGAAATAAATTAAAAAGCTTCAAACAAGCAATCTAGATTTTAAGTAAACAAAACTTCATATTGTGAAAAAATAAGGTATTAAAGAATATGAATTAGCATGAGAAACAATAAACACAGCAGATATTGATTGAACAGTTTAATTTATGCAAAACCTATACAAGTAAATTAACCCTTTCATGAGTGGGTCAAAGTATGCATATCATGACCTTTTTACAGAGTTACTTTCCAAATTGAATTAATCTTCTTTATTATCAATGTATATAAGCAAACTTTGCTTTAAAACACAGTTTACAGTTCAACTTTTAATACAAGTTCTAATTTTTTATTTTTCAAATTATATATATATATATATATACACACCTAGG